TTTCTTAACTTCTCTTTTCTTTCTCATTCTTACTTTTCCCTAACTTTACTTACCCCTATTGAAATCCAAACACGCAATGTGTCTCGTACATTCTCTTTGCTCGCATTAGCCCCCATGCAAACAAGCCCTAAATGAAAAACAAAAACTTTTGGTACCCGCCTTCAGCATATTATCGATATGATATGCCGTGATCTTCGTAATTTTGGTCCAATTATTTCCTCTATGAGAAAAAGGTCACTTATTTTTGGGCTGAACATTATCAGAGTGGTCCCATAAATTTGACATCTTCATTTTTTAATGATCTTTTAACCAATATCTATGGCTAAAAATAAGATACATGGCTTGCAAATAGTTGGCCCATGATCTTGGGCCTAAATAAGTTTTTCGCGAAAAGTCATGGAGGAGGGCTCTATAGGCAACGTAGCAATATGAATATATAGTTTATTTTCGTTGCCTAATCCTCGTTTGGGAGAGGTAGTCAATGAGGTGGAAGTTAAAGTAATGGAAGGGGGAAATTTTAAGATTTTGTTCCCCACAAATTGAGATGTAATGGAGAAGAATGTAACGGAATGTAATTCTTAAAATAAGAGAATATTACACAAAGATAATTTTTACCCCCTATATCAAGATAAGATTTAAAGGGATGGAATAACATGTAAGGTATTTACGTAAATTTACATATATTTATTTATCTTCCCTTTACTTTATTAGACTTCCCAAACGGGGTGAAATTTTTTTGAGAGAAAAACAAGGGGTATACTCTGTTCATTAAAACAAAAGTTTTTACAATTTAAGTAGGATACGAACTATATCCGTTGAAATTAGTAGATAGAAAAAGTAATTTCTCTAACTAGGGATGTATGACCTTCTTCTTTCAAACATCCATGAAGGTGAAGAGAGGGCATTGCCGTCATTCACCATTGACATGGATATAAGAAAGAACCAAAGCCGGCCATACATATAGTAAGGAGAAATTAAACTTTCTATAGACTAATTGAATCAAACCAGCATACTACAAAAGAGTTATTATATACAAACCACATATGAAACAACTAATAATATTTAATTAGACATTGTTGCACCTTTGAATAGGTTTATGTACTAAAGCCGCTGCTAGCTTAAGTGCAGCCTTCCCTCCACCAGAACCTGACCATTCATACAAACCATAAACAGCTGAGTTAATGATATCGGTAGCAGAGAAAGATGTGTTTTCAAAAACATATTTATTTCTTGATGTCCATAAGAACCAACATACTGTGGAGAAAACAGATCGCCATATAACCCCATCAGTTTTGTGCAGAGATTCAACAGATATGAAAAGATCATATAGTGATGTTGGCCACATGAAAGGTAGATAATAATCACTGAAATGTTTCCACACTGCTTGATTCCCCTTACTAATTTCACAAATAAATTTTACATATTTCTTTATATTCCTTCAACTTACCCTATGTTCCCTTAACTTTTCTTGATTAGGTGCAAATTCAAACAAGCCCTAGCTCTTGATCCTTCACAAGTATGTAATCAAACGTAATGAACATCATTGAATTCCCTTCCCTTGTGAAACAGAGAAATTTGCCAGTCTCGTACCACGTTATGACGTTTTATTTATGCGCTCTACAATTTAGCATCATAAACCCAACTGTTAATGGATTTGGCAATTTGAACTAACATGATCATACCTATATTTAAACAATATAAAAAAAAATGTCATGTAGTTCGTAATAGAAGACAAGAGGATTCGACAGAAAGGTGGATGGCAGTAAAAGTAAATAGAGGCGAATAAGGAAGACAACACAGAAGTGTGTAAGTAGTTCTTCGCTGACTCTTTTGATCCCTCAATCATCAGCAGTAAAAAATGATCAAGATCAGGTGAGGCAAAATGCTTGGCCGAAGGTATCTACTGTAATCCTTTCGGAGCAATCTTTAAGAAATGCGTCATCCAAGATCATGTACCTTTTAAAACAAAAATTTAAAAAAAAAAAATCCTTGGAGACATTAAAAACATCTAAATACCTTGTCAACCTAGACCTTTTCTGATCAGGTTCTTGGAATTAACTTTTATGAATAACAAGCTAAAAGTTAATATAATAACTTTGTTGCTATTTTAAGGCCTGTTTGATTACTCAGAAATAGTCATGAAGTAGCTGAAGTAAAAAAAATGAATATTACATGTGTATCTTATGAGCGAAAAAATTATTTGTTTCTTCAAAAATATTACTTCATCTACTTCATGAGTTTTTGATGTGGTGTCTACTTGTCAGTCCGCTTCTCTAAAAGTTTTCCCCTCCTTCGTGCTCGAAAATGCTTCATAAAAGTTTGGAAAATGGTAGTGGGGCCCAAACATGAGAAAATGACGATGGTTAGTTAGGGATCTATTCGGATTCTCTTTCCCACGGGTGGCTCACATTGACATTTTTTGCACATAACCCCTACTTTAACAAAAAAGAATAATATTCATATCAAGGGTCCTTCTTGCCAATGCAAGCATGCTGCTAAATCAAAAATGCAACGGGAATGTATATAATTAGACTAGCACATGATTTATTTTTGTGATACTATAGTTTTTAGAATAAAGTTACATGAGAGAGATAGGAACCCCATTAACATGCTCTAAGAAGCCATATCATCTCCTTTTTTGAACTCATTTACTCCTAAAATTCTTCACTCAATTATTCCAACCTAACTTTTCAAATAAATAAAAAGTTCATGCTTCTGCAGTGTAAAGTATTTTCAATTGTCATAATTCAATCTAAAATGCTATAGTATTTATAGAGTGTTTTGGTCAAAGTATAATAAATAAAGGAAGGCAGTATCACTATGGCTTACACTTTAATTAACTACTTCCTAACAAAATATTTCAATTGTTATCCAAACAAAAAAAAAATGAAAGAAATGAAAAAGTGTTATTTTTATTACTTCTAAAAACAAGTGAAAAACAAGTGAAACAAACCCCAAAAAAAAAAAATTTCCTTATGCTACTTGCTACTTCATAATTTAGAAGTTACTTTTTTCATATACTTCTTACTTTTTCTTGCCATCCAAATGGAAGGGAGATTGAGCATCCCACAAAGCATCTGTAATCCTACCGTGTCTTTCTTCGCAAACTTTGCATAACCTAAGTTATCGCAGCAATATGTCAAGTATGAAACGGCGGACCCAATGCCATGCCGCATAACAAAATTAACGTTTTCCTAACGGACGATTCTCGCTTATCTGTCGGAGATACTTGCAAGTTTTACTTTACGACTTACGAGGCCACTGACGCTTATTTCCCTGACTTCCCCCTAATTCCTATTATGTTAAACTCGAGCTGAGCAAGGGAAATGCCGCTCAAAGCCCGGTGAGCAATATCATCTTTTCCGAGCCCACGAATATATGACCAGTGAAATGAAAAGAGGCGCTAGCAGCATTACTCCTCGGTCATCGGTTTCAATAGGATCGGAACAAGGGGTATCATTCGAGGTGAGGAGCGAAGTTATTACATAAAATGTTCAGGGTAAGCACCACCGACGGGGCCTCAGCGGCAGCCGCCCAGGAAGCAAGGATCACACGGCACAAAACTCAGCAGAAGCAAGGGAACCGAATGCAAATAAGCACACGCATGAACTCCCAACTAACTTTCATCTAAAAGCATAACTGTAGTTAATAACGAAGACAGCTAGACAGACACCACAGAACAGGATAAAGAAAAACAAATGGGGGTAAAAATAAGGTTTCCGGAACAAGCATCGGAAACTTGCGCGAAATTAGACTGCGAACTGGCTAGAGAGTTTTTGAGGGGCGGTGCTTAGTCAACTTCTTCCATCTTGCTGCCCTCGGCATCAGCGTCCTCGAGGGGAGGCATGTCAGTATCGGCATCAGCAGCAGCCTCATCGCGTCCTCGAGGGGAGGCATGTCAGTATCGGCATCAGCAGCAGTCTCATCCTCGTCAATGCTCAACCCCAGCTTGAGCATCCTGTGGATCCTGTTGCCGAAGGTGTTAGGGTCGTCGAGGCTGAAACCAGAGGTCAAGAGCGCAGTCTCAAACAGCAGCAGCACGAGATCCTTCACCGACTTGTCATTCTTGTCGGCCTCTGCTCTCTTCCTCAGCTCCTCCATGATGGCGTTCTCCGGGTTGATCTCCATGGTCTTCTTGCTCGACATGTAACCAGCCATGCTCGAGTCCCTCAACGCCTGAGCCTTCATGATTCTCTCCATGTTGGCAGTCCAGCCGTACTCTCCAGTGACTAAGCAGCAGGGGGAGTCGACCACACGGTCAGAGACCACGACCTTCTCCACCTTGTCACCGAGCACCTCCTTGATGACCTTGCAGAGCCCCTCGAACTTCTCCTTGAGCTCTTCCTTCTTTTTCTTCTCATCCTCGCTCTCATCCAGCTTCAATCCCTCCTTGGTCGCAGACACCAGCTTCTTCCCCTCAAATTCCTTCAGCTGACCCACAGCATACTCATCAATAGCATCAACCATATACAGAACCTCGTAGCCCTTCTTCTTCAGCTTCTCAAGGAACGGGGAGTTCTCAACGGCCTTCTTGCTCTCCCCGGTGATATAGTAGATATCATTCTGCCCCTCCTTCATCCTTGTCACGTAGTCCTTCAGGCTAGTGAGCTCATCGCCACTCTTGGTAGAGTGGTACCTCAGGAGCTCAGCTAACTTGGACTTGTTCTGAGAATCTTCGTGGATTCCAAGCTTGAGGTTCTTGGAGAATGCCTCATAGAACTTGTTGTAGTCTTCCTTGTTCTCAGCAATCTCAAAGAAGAGCTCGATGCACTTCTTGACAAGGTTCTTGCGGATAACCTTCAAAATCTTGTTCTGCTGCAACATCTCCCTGGAGATGTTGAGTGGAAGATCCTCAGAGTCGACAATTCCCTTGACGAAGCTCAAGTACTCAGGGATTAGCTCCTCGCAGTTGTCCATGATGAAAACACGGCGCACGTAGAGCTTGATGTTGTTAGGCTTCTTCTTTGTGTCAAAGAGGTCAAATGGAGCCCGCTTTGGGACGAAGAGGACGGCCTTGAACTCAAGCTGACCCTCCACGGAGAAGTGCTTCACAGCGAGGTGCTCCTCCCAATCATTGGTGAGACTCTTGTAGAAGGCAGCATACTCTTCCTTCGTGATCTCCTCAGGTTTCCTCATCCAGATTGGCTTTTGCTTGTTGACCAGAGCCCATTCATGGGAAACCTCCTTGATCTTCTTCTTTTTCTTCTCTTTCTCTTCCTTCTCCTCATCAACATCTTCTACCTTGCCTTCCTCCTCTTTCTTCTCTTCCTCCTCATCTTCATCGTCAGAGATTTCTTTCTCAGTGGTCTTCTCTGTCCAGAGAGAAATTGGGTAACTGATGAACTCAGAGTGCTTCTTGATCAGATCCTTGAGACGGCGCTCCTCAAGGTATTCCAACTGTGCATAAATGATAACAACAATCAATAAGAGCACAGGTAAATAAATAAATAAATAAAAGAAGAAGAAGAAGAAGAAGAAGATCAACAACCACCATTTTACAGGTACAATAGTACAGGTCAAATGTGCAAAAGGAATGGTGTCCCTAGACCACAAGGGGTCATAATCTCTTGGGTATTCATGAAGTATTTAACATTAAGCACCAAGCAAATGACACAAACAAAGAGAGATCTTTCCCACAAAATAGTACAAACAAAAGAATTTTCTACAACCAACTCACACATAAGCACGCATCATATGCTCTTTCCTACATACAATGCCACACAAGGTTAGGGATTCATAGTAATTTAACGCATCATACCCTGCTTCAGGAAAGAGCCCGTTATTCTTTCCATGAACATCAAGATCATATTTGATTAAAGTAACATGAACACTGAAACAGCCACATACCGCTCATGGATTAATCGATAGACACATTCATACTAATTGTTAAAAATATATAATGCTTTTACGCGTGTAAGGTTTCTTTATCTGGTAAGGGTTTGGGGCTCAGGAGATGCAGCGAAAACTATCTGTCGTCTAGGAGAAATTACAAAATTACTTTCATAATAAACTAATGCCAACTCAAGTTCATAGCAAAGTGTTAGAAAGACCACTCATTAATCTATAAGCTTCCTATCCTAGGAATCTGAAGATTAAATCTGCAACCGACTACACCAACGAAATTGACTTCTCACTTTTCTGTTCATAATAACAGGCCTATGTATTAAGATAAATTTCCTATAAGCTTCTAAAGGAGGAATGATTGTAAGTAATCCTAATGGAGCAGGGTAATTTAAAGCTGCCTGAACCTATGGCTGCTATATATAGGCAGACGCATTATCATGGATAAAGTGAACGGATTATTTAGCCAATTTCTATTCAGCCTGCAACTTGCACACATTACATTCTGTTAAACCTGTCTGGTATAGAGATACCCCAATATCCTTTAAAACAAGTTCAGGAACAAGTCAAATTTGTAGTGTTCTTTAACGTCCCAGATTTAATAGAATCACTCACCGGCCACATTGAGCCTACTGAACACACAAACTACCAGGATTACATTTCTCCATGCAGTATAAAGCAAAGGACAATGAATTACAATGTCACCACAGAAACATCTAAAAAAAACACTCAACAGATGAAATTAAGAACATCCCATGAACAATAAGATTGAGATAGTAATAGTACCTGATCCTCCTTCAGGAAAAGAGTGATCTTGGTTCCCCTTCCAAGGCTCTCTCCAGAGTCTCTGGTAACTGTGAAAGACCCTCCAGCTTGAGATTCCCAAATATACTGCTCATCATCATTGTGCTTAGTGGTCACAACCACTCTCTCAGCCACAAGATATGCGGAGTAAAACCCCACACCAAACTGACCAATCATGCTAACATCAGCACCAGCAGCCAATGCCTCCATAAACTCTTTGGTTCCAGACCTTGCAATGGTACCGAGATTGTTGACCAAATCAGATTTGGTCATCCCAATTCCACTGTCAATGATTGAGAGGGTGTTGGTGGCCTTATCGGGGACAATGTGGATGAAGAGCTCAGGCTGGGCATCCAGCTTGCTCTTGTCAGTAAGGCTCTCAAATCGAATCTTGTCCAGTGCCTATTGATAAAAAACATTGAAGATAAATTAGGGCACTCAGTATTTAATTATTGATACTTTCTTCAACAACCTCTTGCTCAAAGAAGTAAACCATAAGAATATGGTTAAAAAGAAAAAAAAAATTAAAGAAGCCAAGGCAATACCACAACAAAATCAGGCAATCACCATATACTGGCAAAAAAAGAGTATTTATATTCCTTTATAACAAAAACAGTGAGGGTTAGAAATTTTGAAGAAATCATGGAAACCTACACTATTTTATATAAAACAATGCGAGGGTAAGCAAATTTGAAAGATTCATGGAAAATTCCTCTTTTCCCTTAGCTTTGGTCTTAGGAAAACTTTTTGTTTGTTGAACAAAAGGAAAAAACCCCTCGGCTCCAAAAATTTACGCTCGTGCTAATTTTTTTAATATAAGAGTAATTTTTTATGACTGAGAAGGAATTTTTGTCTTGTCTGGTCACAAACTTGTCATGAGACGCAGAACGGTGCTAAATTAAGGGATTAAATGACAAATTTTTGGTGAGATTTAGTGGGATAAAAAAGTTCAAGGGGCTACGTGCAATAACTCATAAAGTTCCACAGGAGCTAGCGGAATGAAAAAGGTTCAGGGGATTAGGCGCAACACCACCAAAGTTCAGGGGTTTTAGTGCAACACCTCCAAAACTTCAGGGGTTTCTGATAACATATATAACAACTTTTTTTTTGCATATACTCCCCTCGAAATACAGTATTTTAATTCTCATATTGCAGCCATTAATTTTAGACTTTAGGATATCATTTGAAATGCAATTAATCATCAATAAACAAGCTTTGATGTGCATTACACGTGCAACAATGCTAGTTATACATCAAGCAATTTCAGAAGAATAATGACAAAAATTAACCTAACAGATATAAAATCATTTAACTATTCCTAACTATTGCCGAAACTAACAGCACTAGCATTCTCTCCCTACAAAAATGACAAACAAAATTGTGGAAGATCCAAAAGAATATTATTATAGATCCCAAACGTAATTGAAGTATTCTTTTTTTCCCCCAATTTTTAATTTGGAATCTGAGTGTTGTGATGAGAAAGAGATCAACAAATCAGTACTTGGGAAAATTTAAACCCTAAAAATTTAAAATAAAATAAAAGAGCCTACATGTCCATAAATACAACTAAATCATGCATCAAAACACATTAACATTAATCACATACTCAACAAAGTTATAAACAACACTAATCATGGATAGCCTGATTTAAATTTCAAATATCTACATAAACAGAGGGAATGTCGAGATCAGGGTTTCGATGCTCACATCGGACGCGTTGCTGATGAGTTCGCGAAGGAAGATCTCCTTGTTGGAGTAGAAAGTGTTGATGATCAGACTCAGCAACTGGTTGATCTCGGCCTGGAAGGCGAACGTCTCGGTCTCGGCCGCCATTGCTCTCAAGGACTGCGAAAGAGAGAGCTAGGGTTTGAAGAGTGACGACTTTCAGAGAGGTCTAGGGCTGAGATGGAGGCGAGCTTATATAGGGCCGCCATTGTCGAAGGAAGAAAAAAAAAAACCTGAAAAAGACGAGAGCTTGATCGCCTAGGGTTTTCGAAGAGAAATGGAGGGCGAGAGTTGATCTGAGCTTTTGAGAGATCTAGGGCACGCTGAGAAAAGGAGGGAGCGATCGATCACGTACATATAGCAGAGCGAAGATGGGGTTCTAGAGAGTTCGGTCCGGTCCTGCGTTATTTTGTGCCCTTATTGAAACGGCCGGTTCCGAGAGGCTAGGCTTCTAGATTCTTCTGTGATTGGTGGGGAGTGGATTTTGTTGGTTGGGTGATTAGCCCAAATGGTACAATAATTATGAGATAACCCCCCACAACTTTCAAAGTATCGGAAAATCCTCCTTAGAAGTTATCAGAAAACCACCTTTCATTTCAAGATTTTTTGAGAATGCACTCGTAAAAGTGTGAATCACATTATTCACTTGAACAAATATCCTTCTGCATAATTTTAACTATCCACGTAAAAAATTATGGTTAACAATGTTCTGGTCTTTTTAATAAAAGTTACAGGGGGTTTCGAATAACCCCTAAACTTAAGAGGGTTTTCTGATATTCTGAAAGTTACGGCGATTGATAATCAATCAAATTAAGGGGATTTAGTTTTAATTAATCTATTGTAGAGTTTGCTTTTATTTTAAAGGATATCCTGTTATTTAACTTAATCTACTAGTAGAGTGCAATAGTGGGTCTAATAATGAACTTTATGTCAAAGGCTAGTTGAACTAAAACAATATAATTCTGTCTAAAAGAAACAGAAGCCAAGATGATGATATTTCAGATTGTGTAGCTAATTCTATTTAGATCGGGATGGTATTATTTAAGTAAAACTAGTTTTTTAATTATAAACTCTAAGTTTTCTTTGGGGACGTTTACCTAAACCTACTTTAAGAATTAGGAGTCTTGTAAACTTTTTAAGAATGTCTTTTTAATATTTCATGCAATGATGAAAGATTTGTTGCTAGAATTTAAAACAAATGATCAAAGTAAACCCCATGGCAACTAGTTCATAACATAACATTCAATCAGTCGCATATGAGATCTTGAGCAAAGAATCGCTTGGATTATTCTTTTCTTCTTGATGCGGAGAAGTACCAGATGAGCTGGAGGTCGTACCCTGCGAATCGCGTTACCATTTGCCACAGCATTCAGGGTTCTCTCTCGTTACCTTTGCATTCAGTTTCTTCACATTCCAAATTAACGTATAATTAAATATCAAATATTTGTTCAGTAACAAAAACATTTCAACATAATTGCTGTTTATCGTGTAGTAGCTACACAACAGACGCAGGCAAGAAAAAGCTTCGTTATGCAGCCTCCTGCGGAGAAGAAAAAAAATTAAGAAAAGCTAAATATTTATTAAAAGAACATTTAA